ACCTCGGGCTGCAAGGCCCAGATTGAGTTCCCCAACCTTCTGAATGGTTGAAGTCCACAACGTTCTATTACAGGTTTCCCACGCCCTTTCTTTAAAGATGTTCAAAGTTGGGAACTCAGAAAAATACCCTTGATGACCACCTCTGCCTCTGTAGAGTGAGTCCAAAGCCTGGCACAGTCAGGAGGTCAGAGTGCGCGGGGGTGGGGTGGGGGGGGGGGGCGCTCCCGGTGCTTGAGTGATGGTAGCTGGGTCAGGAGCAGGCGTGGCTCTCCTTCCCATGATGGATTGGGGCCCAGGCTACATTCCTGGTGCTTGAGTGATGGCGGCTGGGCAAAAATTACTTCTTGTATATTGATGTACATATTCTGAACAAAGTATTTCTGAATTAAATATTGTGATAAAATTGGTAACATATGCTGGGATTATTCCAAGTGCTCTTCAATTATTGGTTGTATTGATTTGAATTTAGTGAAACTATTAATGTCATTTGTAACATTAAATATACAAATATAAAAATGTGAAATTAAATATAATTTTAGTTTTGTGCATTTTAATCCTGTTGTTATTCTAAGTATTTAAAAGTTGTCTGACTGCTTAACTACATGCTTTGCTGTTCTTGAACATTCTTTATTATGGAAATAATTTTTCAATGTAGTTTTCACTGAAGGGTCATTAAAAGTGTAATTTGTCTGTAACTATTTTCTCAGTTTCTAAGAGATCTAAAGTTATAGTTTGTATTTTGATATACTCCTCTTTTTACTTGCTTCAATTTTTATTATGATATTTATATTTTCTGTCTTATTGGGTAATGGATTATTTCCAAGAATTATATCTTTCTATAAGGAAGCTTTTGAAGGCAGATGTTTTTCTTTCCTTTTGAAGGTAAAGAGGTTAATTATAGTGTTCCTAAGGGTGAGCTATTTAACTGGAAGCTAAAATATTTTATTAAGCTTTATTAATTGTGTAATTTGGATTTTTGTTGGTGTATATGGTTTTATCATCTATTACTTTTCTTATAACTTGCATTATGTATTTTTAAAGGTAGAACAGGAATGTTTAATGTACCAAGTTTTGATAAAGTTAAAAAGATGAATGAAAATTGAACATTGGGTAGTATATGTTTAGAGCATTTTCCCTAATTTTTTGAGTATCATGCTGATATTGTTTATTATAAAAGAATTTCTTTCCCTTAATTACAGAAGAAATGATGTGGCTGGGGATTTAGCTCAGTGGCACCATGCCTACCTTGCAAGTGCAAGGTCTTGAGCTTGATCCCTGGGATGGAATGGTGGGGAGAAATGATGTGATAACTGGGATTTACTTTGAAATATTTGAGAAGAAATAATGAGGAAGAGGAAATTAGTGGAAAAAAGAGTGATTGAATCTTCTTTTTATGGATCATGCTTTTGTTGTGAAATCTTTTTTTTTTCATTGAGTTTATTGGTACATTTTAGGTATACAGTACAGTTACATTGTTGTTGTGAAATCTTAAGAACTCTTTACCTAGCTCTACATTCTATTATTTTTCTGTTGCATATCCTAAAAGTTTTGCTGCTCTACATTTTAAGTTTAACTGTGTTATCCATTTGGAGTTAATTTTGGTATGAACTGTGTGCATCTGATTGTACACACTAAAATTCATGTTGAAATGATTCCCAGTGTAATGTTACTGAGAGTTGGTGGGGCTTTAAGAGATGACGAGGTGTTACAAAGATTAATTCTTTTCTTGTAGAAGTGGTTTCATTCTTGCAAGATTACGTTGTTATGAAGTGAGGCTTTCCCTTACATTCCATCTCTCTTGCAACCACCTAATTGCTTTTTCACTTTCTTCCATGAGTTAAAGAAGCACAAGGTCCTTGGTGGTATGCCCTTGGACTTACCAGTCTCCATAATAATGAGCTAAATAAACATTTTTCTTTTCATTTATCTTTTATAAATTATCCAGTCTCAGGTGTTCTGCTATAGCAATAGGATGAACCAAGACAGTGTGAGGTCAAAGTTCATTTTTTTTCACCTGTGAATGTCTATTTCCTCTACCACTGTTGGTTAAAATTCTTTTCTTTCTCCATTGACTTGCTTTTTCAACTTTATAAAGAAGTGGTCATATTTGTGTAGGTGTATTTATGGATTGTATATTTTATTTAATTGACCATATATCTGTTATTCTACCAATTTTACATTTCTTGATTGCTCTGTTGGTAATCCTTAACATTAGGAAGAGTGATTGCTTTTACTTTATTCTTAATTTTCAAAATTATCTTAGCTATTTTAGGTAATTTGTCTTTCTACATAAACTGGAGAATATGATTACGTTTTACAATTTCTGGGATTTTGGTTGAAAGTGCATTGCAACTATGTAGATTTATTTGGGGATAATTCACATTTTTTAATGCTCAATCTATAAACATGTTATATCTGCATTTATTTAAATCTATTTCCCTACCCTAGTAATTTGCAGGACACACATTCTTTATCATTTTGTTAGATTTATTTGTATCAGTTACATTTTAGGGGGAATACAGTTTTCAATTTAAGTTTCATTATGTTCATTACAAGTGTATAGAAGTACAGTGGATGTTTTGTAGGTTATTTTCGTATCCTGAATTCATAAAATAAAATAATTAATATAATATGTTTGTATTTCTGAACTCAACAGTTCTTGGGAGTTTTGTGTTTGTTATTTGGGATTTTGTAGTAGACAATCATGTCAGCTGAAAATAGAGTTTTGCTTCCTCCTTCCCTATCTATATGTTCTCTTATGTCCCCACCCCATGCCCTTTTGCATTGTCTAGGATTTTTTTTTTTTTTTTTTTTTTTGGTACCAGGGATTGAATTCGGGTCCTTGCACTTGCAAAGCAGGCCACTGAGCCACTGAGCTAAATTCCCGGCCCTTTGTCTAGGATTTTCAACAACTTATTAAATAATTTTGTGAAAGGAGACAACCTCAGATCTAGGGAGAAGCATTCAATCTGATGTTACTAAATATGACATTTGTTGTAGGTTGTTTGAGCTAGTCTTTTTCAGTTTGAGTAATTTCCCTTCTCTGAGAATTTAATGACAGTTTTTATTATTAGTGGATGCTGGGTTTTGTGAAATACTTTTTATGTATCAGTTGATGTGATCATATGGTTTTTGTTCATCCTATTGACAGTGTTGGATTCATTTATTTATTTTTTTAAATTTTATTTTATTTTTGGATTTTTTGAGGCAGTGTGTCACTATGTAGTTCAGACTGCCCTGGAACTCACTATGTAGCCCAGGCTGGTCTCGAACTCACAGCGATCCTCCTGCCTCAGCCTCCTGAGTGCTGGGATTACAGGTGTTCGCCACCACATCCAGCTTCATTTATTTATTTTTTTAAAATATTAAACCTGGCCTACATTCCTAAAATAAACATCACTTGGTGATAGTTTATACTTTTTTCATGCCTTGCTGTACTCAATTTGTTTTTTAATTTTTTTGTAGTTCTCAGGTTTGAACCCAGAGCTTTTGGACGGAGCCACACCCCTGACCCCCACCCTTTTTTTGAAACAGGGTCTCACTAAGTCACTAAGATGCCCAAACTGGGCTTGAATTTGAGATTCTTTTGCCTCATCCTCCCACAATGCTGGGATTTTGGGCACATATCACCAGACCTAGCTAGTTTAAATTTTATACTTCTTTGTGTGGTATTTTATCAGAATAATGCCAGCTTAGTTAAGTGTTGTTTCCTCTTCTGTTTTCTAAATTAGTTTGCATAAAACTGGTGATAATACTTTAAAAAATATTTAGTGGAATTTGCCACAGAAGCTAATTGAGGCTGGAGATTACTTTTTCAGGAGTTTTAGATGACACATTCAGTTTCTTTCATAGTTATAAGACTGTTCAGATTATGAGTGCATGATCTGTTGTGATATTCCTCTTTTATTTTTTATGTGATTCATGTTTTTTGTTTTGTTTTGTTTTGTTTTTTTGGTGGTAAGGACTAGGAAATAATCTAAGGTTACTTTGTCTTGCCCTGAACTGGAAGTCTTTGTATTAGACTATAATTAACCAATAAAAATTTAAAATCTTGGCCTTATACATTCACTATATATATTTATACCTCCTGTTGTGACATTTTCAAATGTTTTAGAGAAAGATCTTTATATATATTAGGCTATTTTTTGGTGTGACTTTGGATATCAGTTTTCATATATGACTGATGAAATATTGGGCTAGATCATGTAAGGTTCCTTTAATTAATATTCTGTAGTTCTTTGATCACTGAAATAGTTTATTATTTTGTTTTTAGAACCTTGCGCTTGTAAGGCAGGCATGGTGCCAGTAGGCTAAATCCCTGGTCCTGAAGTAGTTTACTTAAATCAGGGTATATTGTTATTGCTGAGATAGAAGAAAAAACTTGGGCTTTGGAGCGAGGTCTGTGTTTGAATTCTGAAAGATTCAGAGACAGTTTTTACATAGCTTTTGGGAGCACAGACACCAGAGCCAATGTGCCTGGATTTGCATTTTGGGTTTACCTTTGCTAGGTACATTATCTTGGGCACATTATTTAGCTTCTGTTTGTCTTAGTTTCTTTATTGATAAAAGGGTGGTAATAGTACTGACCTTATATGGTTGTTGTGAAGATTAAAGGAATTATCATATACAAGAGCTTGAAACTGTTTGCAGATAAGATATATTATTTAAATGTTTATTATTTACTAAGTGTGTGGCCTTTGGTTAGTTTTAATCAGAGTTTTAGTTTTGCCATTTATAAAATAAGGATTATTATGTATGAACAAATGTATTAAAATATATATTTACCTCTTGCTCTAAATATTTAATGTTGTTTATATTTTTTTTTTTTTTTTTGGTACCGGGGATTGAACTTGGGTCCTTGCGCTTGCAAGGCAGGCCACCGAACCGCTGAGCTAAATCCCCGGCCCTGAAAATATTTTTCATAGGTTTCTAAATATTTTTTCTAAAGCATTCTTTTATTAAAAATAGCCTTGGTTTATTTTCTTCCCACAATTGCACAGAACGGAGGGATGCTGAAGGATGGGAGACTGTACAGAGAGGAAGGCCTGTCCGTTCTCGATCAACAGCAGTGGTGCCAAAAGTGTCCTTAGTGCCAGAAGCCTTAAAGTTGAAGGATGACACCAATAAGGAAAATTTATGTCTTTTATCTGAGGAAAGTATACAGAAAGGTGACTTTTTTGGCGATAGATCTTCTAACATTGTAGAACCTCGGCCCAGAGACTCATTCCACTCTTCAGACCATCCTCTTGCTGAGAGAACCCAGGTAATATTTTGAAAACCATTTTACTACCTTCTTCAGAGCATGCCTGTTGGAACATCTCATCTTTCTACTTCACTTTCAACTTTTATTTTTGTGTAATTTGATACTTATAGAATAGTTGCAAGTATAGAATAGTGAACCCCAATATATTGTTCACCCAGATTCACAAATAAACATTTGCTATTTTTTTATCTTGCTATGTGTATTTATATGTTAAGTATTTGAGGCTAATGTGGAAATATAACCATTCACCTTCCATATTATAGCATGTATTTCCAAAGATCAAAGACATTCTTTTGTATAAATATAAAGTTCAAGGAATTTGGCATTAATACATTATCGAATTTATAGTCAATATTAAAAATGTTTTCTACTAATATATATTTTAAATCCTGAATTCAAGATCCAGTCTAGAACCACGCAGCACATTTGTTTTTGCTTCTTTAATATTGCTCATTGAAGACATGTTCCTGAGCTCCTTTTTATATTTCATGATGTTTGAAGTTTGGAAGAGTACATTTTGAAATGTTCTTTTTTTCTTTTTATTTGTTGCCCTAATTCAGTTTAGCAAGAGCCTTTCTTACAGGAATAATGTAGTTTTTAGATAGTGTCACATCTAATGGTTTGTGATAGAAATTTGCCATAGTTTTCTTCTTAACTTTGAATGCTTGGTTAGGGTGGCATCTTCCTGCTTATTAAGATTGGCAGTGAAATTTTTTATTTTTTCTACTTTAACCTCTTTAAATTGCTAATATTTAGAATAAATTTTATTGTTATTATTCCCAATATATTTATTTTGTCTGTCTAGTTAAGTTTGATTTTATGAGCTCTAAATATTTATTTATGTAAAGGTTCACAAGCAGTTGGTATTTTATGTTAAATGACTAAAAACAAGAGATATTCTTTACACTGTAGGAAATACTCTAAAACAGTAGTAAGGCCAGGGATTTATCTCAGTGGTGACATCGCCAGGCATGCAAGTACAAGGACCCGAGTTCAATCCCTGGTGCCAAAAAACAAAACAATAGTAACATTTGCAGTTAACAATAGTTACTGTATAAAATTTTACATGTGCTAATAAATTTTAAAAATAATTTTTTTCCCTTTTACCCATAGGGTATTTTTCACCCCTTGGAAACACTCCTCAGCTTCCTTGTCTTCTAATGACAATGGCTCTTAATTCCACAATATTCTTTTTTGTGCTATAGCTCTTTAATGTGTGTATGTCTTATGCCCATGTGAGATTGTAAGCTCTTTGAGGGCAGTATCTCAGGTAGCTTTTACGTTTTTGACAATATGAAAAAGTCTAGACACATAGGAAGTAATCAGTTTATCATGTGGGTTACATTTAAAATATTTAAAGGAGATACTTAATGAAATCTCTTTAATCTTAACTAACACCTAGCATTCTTAGGTATTTCATCTAAAAAATATAACTTTACATAATGGTGGTTTTGTATAGTGAATAAAATTATTTGATATTGAGATTTTGGGACTAATCCATACATAGAACTTCTGAATAATTAAACTATTGCTAAAATGTTTTAGTATATTATATAAGTTCACTGCTGATGGTTGCTAACTTGATGACCATTTTTTTCCACTATCATTCTAAAAATGGAATTTAGCATATCTTTTATCAACATAGCTTTATTATTTAGCTTTGATTTTGTTACATAAATGGTACTGCATTTTTAATAAACAGTTGAATATATTGTAAACATCAGTAATGCTAATATAAGTATTGCCAAGAAGATTATAAACTAGAGTGACTGGCATATAAATAATATTGATAGTAATATAAACAATGTGATACAATTCAAATAATGCTTATGCTAAAATCAACACTTTGGAACACTTTAGGTTCTGAGGAATAATAGAATTTCTAAAGTAGTTTATAAGACTTGGCCAAGTTTAATATTTGTATAAATAATTAATCAAACTGGGGTTTTATCATCACTGCAGTGTTTATCTAATGTTTATTTAAGAAGCGATGTGAGTTTTAAATTCATAATTTTAGGTTTTTAATCCCTTGGTGTAAAATTAAAAATACACCATTCTTTATTAGAAAGTAAAAATAAAGGCTTGGTTATATTTCTTATATTAGAAAAATAATTTTAATATATATTTTGGCCTAAGCCAGTGTAAAAAAAATGTGCAATTTTCACATTTTTACAGATTTTGTGTGAATTATTTTTAGTGGGCAATAGAGAGAATATCTGAAGTATATGAATTACATGATGAGATACCTTATACTTTAAATCTACAGTCTCAGCTCATGCCTTCCTCTTTTAGCTTTGAGAATAGGTATCATAAACCCTATACATTTTATCAAAGATACTACTATGAGGTCAAGTTAGTATTATCTGGAGAAAGCAAGTTTTATATTTTTGAGTAAATGCCTCAAGTGTATTTGTTAAAAAATGGTTTCAAGATGTTTTCAAAAGTACTGAATGCCCTCATGGTTATTAGACAGTCTTGACAAAAGTCCTTGCAATACCTGTAGTCGAATGAATATAACATGAAGTATTATACTTATGATTAGATTTCTTTGTGAAGAAGAAATACTCTTTAAGAAGTAATTTATAGTGATTACAATTTGTATTGGATAAATTCTAAGAGTAGTTAAGACAATGCCCAATATGCTGTAGGCCTGCAAATAAAATTTGTATGTTTCTTCCTTTTGTGGCACCTGACACATACAAAAAAATAAGTGAGTTGTCCATATGCCAGTTAAATACTGTTTACAGTTGAAAGATTAAACAGAACCAGCTCTTCTAGAGTTAAATAGTTGGTTATTTTTTATTGTCTCTGATTCATTCTATGAATATGTTTTGTTAGTTCACAGTGAATATGTTGGATGATGTCAAGAATTCTGGTAGTAGTCAAGATTGTTCTGTGCAAACTTATGAAATACCTGATGTTCACATCAGTGAAGAGTGTGTCTCAGTCACTCAGCAAGCTGACATACCTCCTTTACGAACAAATGAAGAAAACATTGCAGCAGAGAAAGAAAGGATAGAAAGTGAAATGGACCCTTCAGATATATCAAATGTGAGTGCTGCTCACTTGGTAAGAACAACTTATCAGAATTCTGTGTAAATACACTAAAAAGGGATAAACCTTAATAATAATAACTTGTACTATTTGATGTTTATTTTACAGAGAAATTTATATTGTCTAATGCAAAATTCTTATACTGATCTAATTAAAATTTTTTTGTGAAGGAGGAAAATGAGACTAAGAATAAAAAAATTGTTCATAGTCTTGTTTATATGTGATTTGATTAAATGCCCTTTATTAAGAAACTAAATCTAGCATCCACAAGCCACTCTCAGTTCAGTCTTAAGCACTGCAACAGAAACAACAGCACTCAATCCCTGGTACCAAAAAAAAAAAGATATCTAAAAACAACAGCAGCAACAAAGAATAAGAAGTCTAACCCCATAATGATTAGTCTTTCTTTCAGTGTCTGGCATTCTGATGGATGTTGCTTGCTAGATTTATTTTTTAAAATCTTCTTAACAGAATACTTTAGATAGATACTCTTACTTGGTTGGAGTTGGTCTTTGAGATGAAATTTTATTTATTGTTCCCATTTCAGAATCTCTAAAAACATATTAATTATATATAGGTATGTATAGTTGAATGATTATTTACTTCTGTCCATTCTTCCCACTGTTTATGTTCATATTAAGACACTTGAAATGAGGATAAGCCAGAATAGACTAGAGAAGTTTCAGAATATTATTTAAATGAGTTTATATTATCTTTGCTTCCCTCTTTTCACTAACCGTAATTATTTTGAGGCTGATACATGTAGTTGTGTATTAATAGTTCAATCTTTTAATCATCTTTAATAGTATTCTGTTTTAGTAGTATGTCTTTTCAATTTTTCAATAGTATTTCTTTTTAATTAAAAAACAATTTTACTGAGTTATAATTTACCTAACATACAATTCATCCAGTAAAGATATCATTGTTTTTCACTATATTCACAGAGTTGTGTATCCATCACCAGAATCAGGTTTAGAATACTTTCATCACTCCAGAAAGACTTACACTGCCACCTTTACCTTCCCAGCACTAGACAGGCACTATCTATGTTCTGTCTATATAACTTTGCCTCTTTTGGACATTTCATAAGACTGTAATACAATATTTAGTCCTTTGTGACTGGCTTCCTTCACTTGGCATAATGTTTTAGAGGTTCATCCATAGTTTATTCTGTCTCAGTACTTAATTCCTTTATGACCAAATAGTATTCTAGTGTATGGATATATAGAAACAGGATCTTGTTATGTAGTTGAGGCTGGCCTTGAATTCTGTGTAGCTCAGACTGGCCTTGAACTCATGGCAATCTATCTGCCTCAGCCTCCCAAGTATTGGAATTACAGGTTGTGCCACCAGACATGGCCCTGCTTTAACTGATGATTTTCAAGCATATTATTTATGTTATGTCTGCATATTTTTAAGCTAGGTATATAGGCTATACATATATATATATATATATATATACTTATATATACACACACACATATATATATATATACGTATATATACATATATATATGCAGACTGCAT